TATAATATAGCATTTGTAAATTCTGAATGCTGATTTGCTAAGAGCCATGTTGATATAACTCAACGTCAACACAGAAAAGTCGGAAAATTTCTTTCTTTGTATTTCTGTGTGCTATATTATAGACACTCGTGGAACTGATTGGGAAAACTCGAAAAAGTGTGAAAACACTCCGCCTTCGGGTTCGTGTTTCCACAAAATTTCTTGTTTTCCCTATTCCACTCATGTTGATATAACTGTATATCAGCATGGAAAATGTTTTATATTTGTTAAATAATTTATGTATAAACTTAATAGATGATGAAAAGTTCTGTGATGATCATGATGTTGGCACAATCAGTACAACCCATGATGACAGTGAAGACAGTGACGATGATGCTGGGGATAATGATAGTGAAGATGACAGCAATGATGGTGATTTGTTGGAGCCATCTTCTCAAACAGAGACAGAAGAAGAACCAATGATGGTGGACAAAACAGTTTCAAGTGATACAGAGCCAGAGGATGAAAATGTGACATATGGTAAAAGTTGTGCAAATAGTGAATGCAATCATTAAAAAGTACTTTTAAAATGTTTTTGGGCAATATATACTGTACAAAGTGTTGTGTTTATTTAATTAAATGAATAATATTCTTAACTTTATTCTTATAGCATTTTTGCTAATAATGAAAACCTCATGATGGAACCGAAGTTTGTTGTCTTCCTCTCGCAACTATTCAAAGTTTGTGCAACATGCAACATGCAAGAAGCCTGATGTGCTGGTAGAAGTGAAAGAGTTTGGCACAATGGTTCAAGTTGAGACGATTTGCAACTACAAAAGATTCCCAGAGGGAAATAAGTCTGGAAAAGTCAACCATTGATGCCTGGCACTTTAAGGAATGTCCTCGTAATAAAAAATAATTACAAAAAAATTTGACATTACACTCATTTGCAAACTACATACTAGCTGATTAAATTATACAGATGTATTAATTTTTTATGCATTGTTCAAATCCAGAGTGCACCCCCCCCCCCACAGGCACTTGCTCATTTTATGTTTCCCAGGGGTGGGTCATTTGAAAACCAACCTCAACCCAGTGGTGAGGCATTTGAAATCAATTAGGCCAAAAAATACCATGGTTTCCTACTATATGTTACAAAAACCTAGGAAGAGTAGGTCGGTTTTGAATTTTTTAATTTCATTTTTATGAGTTTTATACATCTATCACAAACCAGTGAGCTCTAAACACCAGGAACCCTGGTATTATTTTTTGGCCTTATAAAATTAATCCAAATCAGTTTTTGTATTGATCTCACTTCAAGTGTTTGCAAATGGGGGATATGCCTCGGACATCAGTCCCACTTCGGGGAACTTTCCACTTTTTTACCAATCTTGGAATTAACCCATTGAGTCGCATTGCGCCCTGATGCACCCTACTTTATTATTTTACTCTGTCTAACGCCAGGCGATTTTACTCATCAAGGGGAGAGCGCTGGTGCTTAATGGGTTAACTGGCCTATCTGCCCATTTGTCTATTTAACCCATTGAGTCGCATTGCGCCCTGATGCACCCTACTTTATTATTTTACTCTTTCTAATGCCAGACGATTTTACTCGTCAAGGGGAGAGTGCTGGCGATTAATGGGTTAACAAGATTTATTTAAAATGTCAGAAGCCCTGGGGGTGGGCACTTTTGGATGCATAATATTATTATGATGATATCATTCCAACTCTTCATCATCCTCAAAACCTTTGAAGTCTTTTCCACCAAAAGCTTGTCTTATGGCATGATAACCACATGCTGGTAAAGGTATTCTTCTCTTTCCCAAGTATCCATAAACCAATTGTATATACTCTCTATAGGCAACACTTAGGAAATACATATAATATAAAAAACTTTTCATGTAATATTTGTAATAGTTTTATATAAATGAAATTTTCTGATTGATAACAAATTGTGGGGATTTATCAGGGTTAAAAATGGCTATATTATATTGTTATAATAAATATATATATATTATTACATATATGTGTCTTGCCTGTTTTCATCACCTTCCACGTTATACTTCCTGCCATCTATTTTTCGAAATTTACGCCCTGCCAGACGCAATGACCAGGGTGATAAACAGACCGAACCAAAGCCTGGATGAAGCGTTATGCAATTTGGCTCAGCACCTACTTCTTGTAAAACAAGTTCTGTACCTAACGCTTCTAAGCAGCCTTCGATTTCTTGGCAGCATTGAGCCTCTCTCATTTACCAGTAAATCGACTTTACATAGTTCGCATGTACACCTGAAATAAAAAGAAACACCATATAATATTCATTGTGATTTCTCAAACGAAACAGGAAAATATTTTTACATGAGTGTCAACACTAGCCTGCGTATACGCCGTAGCGTCTACACAGAATGTAAACACGAGCTCTGTCTCTGAGCTCACATATAGTGTATACATTTCACATACCAATTTGATACGGGGACGGTTCCGTTCAAGCGAGACATAAGCAGCTGTCTTCTCTCTTCTTCGGCACTTCTCTCTTCGTTGTATTGAGCTATCCAAGCTGGATCAGCAATCGGTTCGCCTTGGTAAGGTTGTAAGCCACTGGTCTTCAT